CCCCACAAAAAAAAAAAAAAACGCATCAAGAAAAACAGAGCTCCATTAATCAGCACAAAGGTGAGAGAGAGAGCCCATAAAAAACCTCAACAAAAACAGAGCTCCATTGATAAGAATGTTAAGAGAGAGGGGGGAAACCCAAATCCTTCAATGGAATAAGAACCCAAAAAAAGCTTCAAGAAAAATAGAGTTTTAGAGAGAGAGAGAGAGGACCCAAAAAAACCACAACAAAAACAGAGCTCCATTGATAAGAATGTAAAAGAACCAGGGAAGTAAACCCAGAAAAAAAAGCTTCAAGAAGACAGAGCACCATTAATCAGAAGAAAATTATGAGAGATACAAAGACAGTGAAAAAAAAAACCCAGAAAAGCTTCAACAAAAAACAGAGCTCCAAATAATCAGAACCCAGAAGAAATTACGCCCCATAAGTTCAAAAATAAGTCTAAAAGGAAACCCAACTCGTTCGAAGTGAAGAACAAATCATTGAGAAAGAAAGGAAAAAGAACAAACCCCATAAGATTAACTCTGAGATTACGTTTAAGCTGAAGAAAAAGGTCATAGAGTTGGCCAAGGTCTGCAGCATTGCCATGGGAGTAAAGCAGAGTAAGTCTCGCACAAGGATTTCTCAAATAAAATCCCACTATCTTATTCCCACATTTCGTATCAATCATCAAAACATCCAACAAACGGTCCTCCACCACCGACCCCACCGCTCCCGCCGCCGTCGAAACCACCGTAAGCCGACCGTCGCCGTCTCTCTTTGTGATCTGATAAGTCGACGGCGACGGCGGAAAGAAGGCGAATTTGGAAGCCAAATGAGAGAGCATGCAACCCATTCATGCAAAAACAGCTTAAACTCAAATTCATCAGATTCACAACATCTTTTTTGGAGGAGAGGAGAGAGAGAAAGTGGGTTAGAGAGAGAAATAAGAATAATGGAGAAATGAAAGTGGGATTTGAAATTGAAGGAAATGAGATTTGGATGTTTAGCTATACTTGGTGTAAGATCGTTGTTTGTAATGTAAAGTTTTCTATAAGCACAGAAAGAGAGATAGATAAATGGGAGTGGCAGAAACAGAGTCCCTATATATTAAATTCAACTCTGTTTTCAGGTGCCTTTGTTGAATTATTTAAAATAATAATACATCATGAAAATAGAGATAAAATTTTCGAATTGTCAATAAATATTTTAAAAAAAAATATTAAATTAAGAAATAAGCCTTTTACTTCTTTTAAATAATTTTAATCCTACATTAACCCTATTTGGTTGATATTTTAATAATATTTCATTAATTTTTAATATTAATCATAATTCATGATGAACTCTTCAAAATATCTTATCTCCTATTTCAATCTCAAAATTTTTACGGAAATTGAATTCTTTAGAGAATATGTATTATATTTTTATATATTTTTTAAAAATATATTTTAAAAATTAATAATATTATTAAAAATTTTGAAAATTTAATAATATTTTTTTAGACATATACATTTTTATCAATGTCAAAAAGTTAATAAAGACAAAAAAAAAAAAAAAAAAAAAATCTAATAATTTAAATAAAAAAGTGGGCCCAAGAAAGTGTGGAAGGAGAAGTTTACTTGAAACGGAGAACTTTACAGTGAGGCAGTACTCGTGTGTAACAGTTTAGTCAGTAAAATTGCTACATCCTAAGCGGCGAACTCGTCTCATTGGATCCTCTTTCGCCCACGCTTTCAATCTTGGTCGTCCATTTTTCATTTTTAGCATCATATTTTCCACATCATTTTTATTTACTTAAAATGATTTAATTTAATAAAAATACCATATATATCTCAAACCTTTCAGAAATAAACTTTTGAAAAAAAAATCTAAAAATGCTCTAAAACTTGTTTTTTAGTGAAAAATTAACACCTTTCAAGTCTTATAAAAATCGTCAAATTAATAAAAAAAATATGCGCTCTCTAAAAAAAAATGTCTAAATGTCTAAAAAAAAAAATACTTTTAAGGTTAGTTTTAGATAAAAAAACAATTAATACATTATTTTATCTTTCTAAATGTTTTAAAATATTTTTTAATTTTGAAAATGTTTAAAAAATACAATAATGGTGAAAAAGATATATAGAAAATTCTGAAAAAGAAAAAAAAGAAACATACTGAGATAGAACATGCAGTTGTGCAAGAGCTTAATTCACAATTTCAGCTTCTAGCAGTTGCAAGAGTTAAGAACTTGTTTTCTGTTATCTTCATTGTTTAAGTGACAGAGAGTGTGCAAGTATAGTTCTTACCTTTGCAACATAATGGCCGGAAAAGTGTTGACGCATTTGATTGTCTGGAAAAACATCACTGTAGAAAATAACTCAGAATGACATTAATTCAGTTGCAGGAATAACTCTCTCTTTCTAATATGTATGCTATGTTTGGTAGAAAATTTCTAGCATAAGCCTACTTCCTGGGTTTAAATTAATTCTCCAAAGAAAACAAGAAAAGAAGTAGAACCCAAAATGAGGTGTTTTATCCGAGGAAGCAGATGATCACCAAATGGAGAACCAGGTTGCACAGCACGAAATCAGCAAAAGCTCGCTCCGGGGCCAAATCCTGAAAATTTGAAGAGGACTCGTTAAGCATTTCGAAACGTGTTGTAACCAATTTTTGGATTTCATGATAGGAAGTTCGTCTATTATTTATTTTTCCCATAATAAATGGAGGTTCATGCCTTTCATTTCAAATCATGTGAGGAATGTGAGGAATGATAAGTATTTGAACAAATTGTTCAAAATTTTATTGCAGATCCCGCATCAGCCGGAGAGGAGAACGAATAATTCTTTATAAGGGTATGAAAACCTCTCCCTATCATACGCGTTTTAAAAATCTTGAAGAGAAGCTCGAAAGAGAAAGTCCAAAGAGGACAATATCAACTAGCGGTGGGCTTAAACTGTTACAATTTGGAATATTCGTTGTTAATGAAAAGAAAATAACGATTTTACGCATACTCTTTCCTAATATGCAAATGAAAAATATAAGTGAGGTCAAATTAAGTAGAAAAACATGAAAGAAATTACCTTGAACTCCTTGTTTTCTTTATTAACTTGAATCCGGAGACAAACTGAAAATGAAGAATTCGATCAGAATAGGAATTGCTCCTCACATTATTTTGTGATTTGATAACCAAGATATACATCCTGCTTACCAGCAAGGACAGCTGTCCCGATACAAGAAAGAACGCCTGAGAGGAAGGAGTTGAATGGGAACGATCCAACAATCGCCATGTATGCTACCTGTTTACAAGAACTTATCAGTTAAAAGTAATTCAAAACAAATTTAAGAACTCGGAAACATTTTAAAAGTGCGACTCGGCGTTGTGCAAGATGAAGGCATCTCCACAGCGCAAAAGGTGCGTGCTGTTAGATATTTCTGACCTTATAAATTTATGTTGCATAGATAAACCTAAAAAGCCTATAGCTAAAGAATCACCTAAAAAAATATCATCTAATTTTTCATTACATTGTCATTCATCTAATACATATGTTCTATTTATTTAGTTAGGCATCACAGTTCAAAATATAAAATGCGTAGAAAATCCAAACGATGACTCATAAACTCAACCAAGTTTAAATGTGAATGCCAACGATACAGACCCACGATTATAAAACAAAGGTCAAATGCAAATAGTTGAGTATCATTAGTTTATCAAGCACAGCCTACACTTAATGAAACCTTCCACTCCAACAGCACTTTTTGTTGATAAAATTTATTCAACGTAAATGAAACAAGCTCAAGTATTCAATTAAACGAAAAAAGAGAGTTATAACTTACCAAGGAAATCAGGAAACTTTCAGAACTCGGTGAGTTAGTTAATCTCTTATAATGAATATTCAATTAAAGCTTTATCAAAAGAAAGAGGCCAAACGTTGAATTGAACAGATGAAGCACATAATACGTGCCATTATGTAAAGGGTATCAAGATAAGATCGCAACATTCCTCCACAAATGGACTCGGCATGAAAGGCCGATCCCTTTGTTGGGTTCATGGTACGAGATGAATTTTCAAGATGCTTAGGCAACATTACTTTTTATGTGTTCTTGAGGCGACTCAGATTTTTGTAATTATTAGCTTGTACTGTTTGAGGTACTTGGAAAATTTCTGCACCAGTTTAAGCAAGCAAGAGGATTCCGTTCTATTGTATTCTTCCATTTTCAAAGAAGGTTGCTCATAAAAAAAATGATTGGCAGAGGAACAAGAACTTATGCTGAGATATAAAAACCAGGATGGAGTCTGGTAAAATAACAGGCTAGATCGTATTTTATAAAAAGTAAAGAAAACAGAAGCAACGTCAAACTTGCATTCATTTTTCCATTGCAATGCAGTTTTCTACAATCGAATACAGTTCAAAGACAGTAATCAAAAGAGCGTGACACATTGACGAATTCGGACGCAGAAAAGGAAAATTCGATACAAATCCGTTCCGGAACAACACAAAACTATCAATAATCAAGGAAATGGCGTCCACAAAAGGATCAAAACGGCACAAACCTGAATCAGAGCCGTGAACACAGCATAAATCACATAGAGATCAATGATCTGCGAGGAAGACGATCTAGGTCAAAATTCCATCAGCAAAATTTAGAGCAGGAGTGAAAAGATATAATACCTTGAGAGTTGTTGGAGTGGCAGCATAAGCAGAGCGAAGCGACTGGAAAAGAGCTTGAGCGTCCTTGCTTGTGGATCTCGCCATTGCAATACCGAGCTCTGGAGCCTCAATGAACAAAGAACAAATGAAGACGTCCGTCCAAAATGAAATCCTAGGGAAATCTCACCAGTTTTTAGGAGTGAAAAGTCCTTTTTACCCTTTTATAGACCTCGGTCCTAACTTTCCGAAAATCGGATAACGGCCTCTCTTTCGGGTAGCCCCTCTCCACGATTCTTCTCCGGCAAGCTGCAATCTCCGCCGACGGCGGCGCCGGCCTACTCCACGGCCAGTGACGTGGAAGTTTGTTGACTTTCATTGAATCAAGCCACCCAATTTTCCAACTAATTCAAAATTAAAATAATTTAATTCTTCTATAATATTTACTTTATAATTTAGAATTTAGATCGATAAACTAATTATAAATTAGTAAATTAACATTCAATTTTGATAAATTTTATTGTTAAGGAACAAATTGTTACACAAGACCAAACATATTTTTAATATATTTTTAATCATAATTTACTCTATATATTAAGTTTGTTTTTTAATCATAATATAGTGCGCTTGGGGAGAAGTAACAAGAGAAGTCACAACAAACGACTATATTAAAATACAAATAAACTCACATCAAATTATGTAGTCAAGATTTGAATAGGAATAGAACACATATCTAACATTTTCATACAAGCCCCACTTAGCTCGAGAAGGTATAGCTCAATCGACAGAGCTCCACTTTGATTATGTTTTTTTTTCATTCAACAACACGTAGAATGAAAAGATTTGAACATCTTATCTCTTGGTTGAAAATATATATCTTAACCAATTGAACTATAGTTTGATCAGAGTTCTATTTATGGGTCGACAACACATGGAATGAAAAGATTGAACATCTTACCTCTTGGTCGAGAATATATGTCTTAACTAGTTGAACTATAGTTTGATCACGCCAAATTTAAACTCATTTAGATCAAAATTCAAACTCATAGCACACATATGCCATGGGTGGGTATCAAAAGTGGGGGAAATTGGTAAGATGAGGTAGGCAGGCATGAGGAAGCCTGGTGTTCATTATTTCTTGGCCTGAGATTGCTCCACAAGGTATCTGCAAAACAGATCTAGTTTTGAGAGAACTGAATACTTCCATTTCATTTCAGCATATAACAAACAAACAAACACTTCAGTCAAGGAAACTGCACATTAAATTTTGAAATGAAGGCCTTTTGTGTTTCTTTCAAAGAAGGAAGATACTGTAAAATATGAAACATCTGTGGACAAAAAGAAATATAGAACGCATGTCTTGAGCGAGAATGAAACTAAGCAAAACTCACTTGCCAGTGTAGAAGCCTGCAGAATACCAAGCATTTAACACAGTGGTAAGGTCTGTTTCAGAGCTAGCACCCCTTTGAGGCATTATCCCATCATGTCCCTCGCTTTCTTTCTCTATGTGAACAGATGAAAAAGAAACAAAAATGTCGCAAGGTATCAAATCATGTAACTTAAACCCCAACCTATGTCATATGGATTAGTGTAACAGCCCCAAGCCCACCGCTAGCAGATATTGTGCTCTTTAGGCTCACCCTTTCACCCCTCAAGGTTTTTAAAACGCATCTACTAGGGAGAGGTTTCCACACCCTTGTAAAGGGTGTTTCGTTTTCCTCCTCAACCAATGTGGGATTTCACAATAAGCCGTTACGATTAGGCAGAGAGATGGTTTAAAAAAGGATAAGATGAAAACGTAAAGTTCATAGACAATGTAAAGGAAAGTCTAATGGGAAGTTCATTTGTACGTTTTCTGTCACCATTTGTTACAAAAACCTAGACATCTCAACCAGTAAACATGAAGTCCCTATAATCTTATCTAAAGCTAAAGAATCATATAGAAATAAAATGTGCTAGATGACCATATAGAAACTGGTAAAATGATGGCTTGCAGCAATATACATGTTCCAATATCGTACAATGAGCATCAAGTGGTTTGGTCCATTCTCATCACATAATCATTAAGCGAATATGACACGAGGGGCACATGACTAAACAAGGACAACACGAGGGCGTGCAAAAACAACAACCTAGTAGGAGCCAGACAAGAACAAACCTTGAAAGGGAATCTAACACAAAAGAATAAAACATAAAGAGTAATGACGAAGTCCTTAGATACAAACGTCCAAAGGGACATACATTTTATCATCTTTTTATTGTATAGTTTTAGCAAAGAAGAGAAGAGCCATTATAATTCCTTTCATTAGCTTTGTTTTGCTTCGTATTGTTTCTTTCAGGCTTTTTTGGGGGTATTTTTATGCCCCCTTTGACATATTTTGTTGCCTCTAGTTCATGTTTTCTAGTAAATTTTGGAGCAATGTATAGTAAATTTTGTTACTTATCTATGTCATCAGCATACAGAATCTTCAATCAAAGAATCAAAATAAATGCAGATAATCTGAAGCGATTCAGGCTCCATAAAATCATGCCAACCTTTATTTACAGTCTTCATGGACGATATAGCTCTTGCTGCAGAATCCATTGCAGTTTTGATTATGTCACCATCAGCAAGGGACGAACTTTGAGGACCTGTAGCCAATGAGTGAATAATGGGTAACACTTTTGCCCAACAGCCATTCCAAACAAGGAAGAAATAGAAAATTGATATCACATACCAGCTGAAATTGGATAACTGGAGGGCGGGTAAGACGGTATTGCCTGGTTAAGAGAAGGTTGGCTTGCAGAGACTGGGTGTTCTTGATAAGCAGCAGATGTTCCCCATTGATTTCCGATGTCAGACCCTGCACCGACATCCTGGTAGTTCCAACCACCAGCACCACATTGATAAAGCTGTTCTAGAACCTTCTGCCTCTTCTCCTCAAGCTCGTAATACTGCTTGAGTAGCTCGTTATAGCCATCTTCACCTCTTAGATTTAAATTGGAGTCCTCAATGGTCTCCTGTTCCGTCTCTTTCACATATAGGGCGGCTGAAAAATCTGTACAAGATATAGGACATGGCTCTACACTGATATTTTCCTTAGCTTCTGAGGTATTTTTAGTCTCATTGACTTCAAACATAACATCATTTGCTCCAATATAGCTCTCTTCATCTACACTCCTGTTCTTTCAAGATGCAATAGTTTAAGAGATAGTAATATAATATTAACCGGGATAACTTCAAAGAAGACACTCAGGACGTCCCAAAAAAGATCATAGAAGACAAAAGAAGAATTCATGCAAGGGCAGATCATATTGGGGCCAGCGGGGGCATGTGCCCCCCTCAAATTATAGGACCCTTCCACAATTGGACAAGAATGACACTGAAATGGAAAGTTACAATACCAGGAATCTCTACTAAATCACTACTTTTTTCTCAAAATGTTCACCTTAGTTGTGTTTGTAACAGCAGCCAAAGAAACTGTTCTAACAACCTTTCAACCATTCCTATTCTTCTACATCCTAAAAGCAATTGTGTAAGATCCCACATAGGTGGATTGTGAGATCCCACATAGGTTGGAGAGAGAAACAAAGCATTCTTTATAAGGGACAGAAACCTCTCATTAACAGACGCGTTTTAAAAAACTTGAGGGAAAGCCCAAGGAGGACAATACTTGCAAGTGGTGGGCTTGGACCGAACAAATTGCACCCCTAAATCGTTCATGCACCTCCAGAATATTGTGGAGCCAATTTCAAATCAAGCACCTGTAAATGCTTCCCCTGCATTTTGCAGGTCGAAAGGCAATGTATTCAAGGCACAGTTTCTTCCCTACTTGCACACACAGCAAATCTTTGATCATTAGTGTCGCTCTTTTTAAGAGCCACCAACCACAAATGCAATTTTCAAGGAATAAGTCTTGCCTATGAGAAGATTGAGAGTCCAAGATTGTTGCCAAAGACCTTAACTTCCCTAGGATCCCAAATCCAATGTTCTTTAAGACCAGTCAACCAACGCCATATAGCATATACGACAAGGCATCAAATCAACATACTACCATTCAAGCGTCTTTTAAAATTCCTGTCCGACAAGATCTTTATGCAACAGCCTGGAAGTTTTTTCTAATGAGAAATCAGTGTGCTTCTTTTGGTGATGGAAAACAACTGTCTACTAGGGTAGAGTAACTTAGCTCGCAAGACTCATAGCTTTGCAGTTAAAAAAAATATATTCTTCTTCCATATTCTCATGCAAGATCCTATCCCATATTTTCTTCTTCTTCCTTTTTAAAAATTTTCTTTTATGGGAAACATAGAAAGAATCACCTTTCTAAATACAACAAAAACTAATAGGAAGGCTTGTGCTATCTGCCACAACGTAAATCTTGGGAACTTAGAAAGGAGAGCTTCCTCCTTACCATGTATTATAATAGCTCAAGCCCACCACTAGCAGATATTGTCCGCTTTGGTCCGTTACATAGCGGTTTTAAAACGCGTCTACTAGGGAGAGGTTTCCACGCTCTTATAAGAAATGTTTCGTTCCCCTCTCCAACCAATGTGGGATCTCACAATCCACCTCCCTTCAGGGCCAGCGTCCTTGTTGGCACACTACCCGATGTCTAGCTCTAATACCATTTGTAACCACTCAAGTCCACCGCTAGCAAATATTGTCTGGTTTGGCCTGTTACATATCATTGTTAGTCTCACTGTTTTAAAACGCATCTACTAGAGAGGTTTTCACATCCTTATAAGAAATGTTTCGTTCCCCTCTCCAATCGATGTGGGATCTCACATGTATCCTCCCAAAAAAGTATTTCTTTCCATTCCAAACAAGCTTTAACCCTAGTAGCAAGGTATTTCATCAATAATTAGGCAAGTATTTGAAAGTAACAGGACCGGTTCACAGACCACCGTTAAAAACTCCATAATTAGTAGCCACCCCATACAACTTCAAAGTTTTCACAAACAAATAACCAATGTGCAAAAGGCCAAAGTCAATCCAAAAACCCATAAACATTGTCCAAGAAAAAAAGGAAATAGCTATGAAACCATGCGAAAAACAACAAGCATCCAAGCTTTCACTTGCATTTCAACTCATAGAGTCAAACAAAAAAAGAACATTGTCGAATACCATGATCACAAAACTTTAAATAATAAACTGGTTGTGAGATCCCACATCGGTTGGGGAGGAGAACGAAACCCCTTATAAGGGTGT